CCCCCCCCAATACTGCCGCTGCTCATTAACCTGTAAAACCCGAAGCGGAATCCTCTTCGCTGCTTCCTGGCCGCGGCTTTTGCTTGGATGCGATGAATGTTTTTGTTTACATTTTATGTTTCTGAAAACAGAATTTTAATCACTGCCAACATCCCAATGCGACGGGTCCCGTGCCAGCGCCGCGTCCTCCGAAACAGCGGCTTCAGCTCCATCGCTAGACGAGGCCAAGACACGCAATTGTTTATCTCCTACGATGGCTGGAGAGTCGCTGGTCTTCCCCCGGGTTCCTCCAGAGGTGGGTGGGGCTTCCTGGAGCTGCGGCTGATCGACCTCCCATCTGCCGGCATAGTTCTGGGGCCAACAATTATCTTCTTACCTGTAAGAGGGGCGGACTTCCCACTGACCCCCAATGTAAGGAGCATTCTTCCCACTGACCCCCAATGTAAGGGTCATTCTTCCCACTGACCCCCAATGTAAGGAGCATTCTTCCCACTGACCCCCAATGTAAGGGTCATTCTTCCCACTGACCCCCAATGTAAGGAGCATTCTTCCCACTGACCCCCAATGTAAGGAGCATTCTTCCCACTGACCCCCAATGTAAGGAGCATTCTTCCCACTGACCCCCAATGTAAGGAGCATTCTTCCCACTGACCCCCAATGTAAGGAGCATTCTTCCCACTGACCCCCAATGTAAGGAGCATTCTTCCCACTGACCCCCAATGTAAGGAGCATTCTTCCCACTGACCCCCAATGTAAGGAGCATTCTTCCCACTGACCCCCAATGTAAGGAGCATTCTTCCCACTGACCCCCAATGTAAGGAGCATTCTTCCCACTGACCCCCAATGTAAGGAGCATTCTTCCCACTGACCCCCAATGTAAGGAGCATTCTTCCCACTGACCCCCAATGTAAGGAGCATTCTTCCCACTGACCCCCAATGTAAGGAGCATTCTTCCCACTGACCCCCAATGTAAGGAGCATTCTTCCCACTGACCCCCAATGTAAGGAGCATTCTTCCCACTGACCCCCAATGTAAGGAGCATTCTTCCCACTGACCCCCAATGTAAGGGGCATTCTTCCCTCTGACCCCCAATGTAAGGAGCATTCTTCCCACTGACCCCCAATGTAAGGGACATTCTTCCCTCTGACCCCCAATGTAAGGGGCATTCTTCCCACTGACCCCCAATGTAAGGAGCATTCTTCCCACTGA